TCTGCCCCCACCATGTTCTAAAAAGACTAGATTTGGAAAGATAATCCCTGTGGGACTTACTAGGAGGTAGCAGAACTGCTCTGTGCTCAGACCTCCCTCTTGCACCTCCAGGGAACTTCATGAGTCACAGTCCTGTGGGGAGTTTTCCCTTCCCCTCCTGAATGGAGAGGGAAGGTAGTGCTCTTCCTTCTCTCTCACAAGCCAAATGAGGGCGGGCCTACCGGCTGAGACTGAGGGTGACCACATGAAGGTGATAGTGGCATCTATTTCCAAGTTAGCAGTCTGCTGGGCAGCCTGCTCAGGGCCTATGTAAGCAGGATGTGGGGCAGCTGTGACCGGGAAGGATGTTTCCCACATGCTGAGTGGACCTCCTCAGAAGAGAGCTGGTTTGAGCCTTTGAAACCAGTGCTCCACCAATGAGGCTGGACTCAGGGCAACACAGAGAGGAGCAAGGAGCCCCAGAAGAGGGAGGGGAGGAATGAAAGAGGTATCCATGTCCCCATTTCTCCTCTAAGACTCTTGGGTCCAGGACTGACCTTGGTGGGGAGAAAGAAGGGCATGGCATTAAAGTTTTAGAATTGATTAAATGGGCTGGGATTCCCACTTCTGGGTGTGTATCCAAAGGAAATGAAAACAGGATCTTGAGGTATCTGCACTCTCCAGGTCAGTGGAGCATTATGCACAATAGCCAGAATAAGGAAACAACCTAAGTTTCCAACAGATGAATGGATAAATAAAATAATTTCACATTTTATCCATTCATATGTGTCTGTGCATATATATGGATATATATGTACATGGATAAATAAAATTCAACCATGAAAAAGAAGGAAATCTTGCCATTTTCAACAACATGGATGGACCTTGAGGACATTATACTAAGTGAAATAAACCAGACAAGACAGATAAATATTGTATTGTATTGTATTGTATTGTATTGTATTGTTTATATTTGGAATTTTTTTTAAAACTCAAACTCATAGAAAGAGAAAGTAGAAAAGTGGTTGCCAGGGGCTACGGGGTAGGGAAACAGGAAGAGGTTGGCAAAAGGTTACGAACTTTCAGGTGTAAGTCAAATAAACTAGCTAAAAGGATCTGACTTAAAACATGGTGACTATAATTGATAACACTGTACTATATACTTGAAATTTACTAAGAGAGTAGAACTTAAATGTCCACAAGATAAATATGTGGGGTGATGGGTGTGTTAAGTAATTAGATGGAGGAAATCCCTTCACAATGTACACATTTATCAAATCACCACAAGGCACCCTTTAAATATCTTACAATTTTTGTATGTCCATTATATCTCAATAAAGCTGAAATTTTTTTAAAAACTGGAATGGGATGAACTGGATTGGTTTTGTTTGTTTTTAAAATATATCTTTATTGATTTCAGAGAGAGGAAAGGAGAGGGAGAGAGAGAGAAGCATCAATGATGGGAGGGTCATTGGTCGAGCCCGCAACTGGGCATGTGCCCTGACCAGGAATCGAACCCCAATCGCCTGGATCTTAGGTCGACGCTCATCCGCTGAGCCATGCCTGGCCGGGCTGGATTGGGTTTTTAATACTCCTCATGATCCCCCTCACCCAAGACCAAAAAACTGTGACGATGCTGGGGGAAGGGAAAAACAGCTTCAAAGAGTATGCATGAGGCAATAGCTGGAGAAAAAGGAACTCATTTCGTGTTTGCTTCCTACCCAGACCATTCGCCAAACGAGTTACAAAACAGGTCATGCCTCACATTCTCCTTGTTCAAAAACACTCTTCTGCCCTTTCCTGTATTGTAAGATTTAGGCATCTCAGGTCTGCCGTTTGGTCAGGGCTAACAGGCTTCCAGTGCTCCGCCTTGCAAAGGCAGGCTTTCCCACTACTGGTAGGAGAAACCTCAGAAAGGGGCTTCCTGTGCCCGTGGCGGCATAGGTCAACGCCGAACTCACATCCTCCCACAGCCACATCAAAATTACAACTAAACCATAGAACCACCATCATTCAGAACCACCCGAAACAGAGCTGAATGGAAGTCCTACAACTGCAGAATGAAAGGAGCAACATCAAAACTGGTGGGAGGGGCGGAGACACAGAATGGGCTGGTCCCACACCCACGTGTGGCAGATAAAAATCAGGAGGGAGATCTCGGCTGCAGAGGTCCCCCCTGACGAGTGAGGCCCCCCAGCACAGGGTCCCAGTGCCAGGGAGAGAAGTCCCCACAACTTCTAGCTGTAAAAACCAGTGGGGCTTGTGCCTGGAAAATCAGAGCAGGCTTCACCTAGGAGGTTCTCCCTAAGCTGGGGCTTGAAGGGTGAGTACAAACTTACCAGGTGAAAAAGGAGCAGGAAGAGTATAAAAATGAAGAGAGAGGGTGATGTACTCAGTTAACATGATCAGAAGTTCAGCATGATCCATTTGTTATCTGTAAAGATAACTCTGGAGGGGAATGAAGAAAGCAAGGCTGAGATAGGAGGTGAATGAACAACATTCGTGTAATATATACTCGTTGCATATTTCCTGTGTGCTAGGTTCTGTCTAGAGGAGAATAAAGACAAGTAAAGAGGCAACGACAAGCTAGTAACACATTAAGCGCCAAGCCCAGGAGCAGCATCTCCCAGACTTGAGTAGCCTGGATGGCAGAAACCCAAGTGAAAAATACTTGGTGCAAAAAGGTAAAAGAGGGGATAGATTGAAAGGATATTTAGGAGATAGAATCATCTAGCAGATTCTGCTGGAACCCTATATATTCAGCTCGCTGTTCTCATACACCTTACAGCTGGCCACTGCAAGCATCTCTGAGTCTTTACCTGAAGACGTTAGTGTTTGGCTTGCACAAGAGGCAGGCTAAGGAGCACCAGGGACTTAGTAGTGAGGACAGCCAATGTCAGGTGGAAGTGGGTGGATAAATACCCCAGGTTTGCTTGTCCCTCAGGGGAGACAGCCGTGAGGAATGCCTTACAACGAGGATCCACATGGACTAAGCCCCAGTTGCTGACAGTGGTAACCTGCTCATTACAGCACCTTGTACCGTCTCCCCTCCCTTCCCTGCCTCACTTCCCCATGGTCCTACCAGCACTCCCTGGAATCACCTCTCAAATAAACTACTTGTACTCAAATCCTTGTCTCAGAGTCCACTTTGTGGGGAACCCAACCTGAAAAAACAAAAAAACTTAGTGAAAGATGAGCTGATGAAATAGGAGGCTATGAGATTTCTACTTGGGAGATGCTGACTCCATCAACTGAGATAAAGACTCTTCAGGATAGGAAGATGGATAGATTCGGGCAGAACAGAATGATCTGGGGAAAACTGAGTTTCAGGTGCCCAAGGGACTTATCTCAAAATTCCCTGAGTATAAGGTTAAGACTCTTTGGAAAAAGTGAGAAGAAACTGAGCAGAAAAGGGACTACACCAGAGAAGAAACCACCAGAAATGAACATCATCTCTCCCTAACGGGTAATTACGGTATCTTCCTTTGACCCCAGAGAATATAAGGCCCTAGCTACTTCTTCCAGCCGGTTTCTGTATTCTAGTTTCTCATAGTTGGAGGGACTCACTCCTTTAAAACCATGCATAACTCCCCACCAGCAGCCAGCAATGGCAGCCGTAGAATCACTGTCTCCACCATGGAAAAAGGCTCGGTGGGCAAGCTCCTTCCAGGAGTCTCCTGCAGCCAGGACGGCATCATAGGCAATCATGGGGGCATCATGTCCACTGCTGCCGCCCCAGCCAGAGTAGCTCACAGACGTGTAGAACTGATCCCTCTCCTTCACATCATAGGGCTTGGGGAAGGTAGGGGTTGATTTGCCATCCAAAATCCCTCTAAGTTTTAGGTACTTTTCCCATTGGTCTTGGAAGTAGGACCTGTAGGAAGGAAAAAAATCTACATTCAATTGGAAAAATAAAGTTGATAACCACAAGGAAAGGTTGGATGTGTGAACAGGGGAAATTCCAAGATGACTTCAACTTCTTGTATTAATATCATGAATGACATTAAAAATCAAAATGAGCTCTATCTAAGTAACAGTCATTCAATAAATTTTTGCTAGGAATTGATATAAACAAGGCATGGATACCTGTTGCTAAATTAAAAAGACATATAGCAAGTTAAAGGTAAGAATTAAACGTTTGTTTTTCCTGAGTTGAGAATAATGTCAAGTGTCACCTTTCAAGGTGAAAATTTAATTTATTTAGTCTGTCATTATGTTTTATTTCCTTAATAAAAAACTGTATATATTTTAGGTGTACAACATAATGATTTGATATACATATACATGGTGAAATGATTATATAAACTAATTAACACATCTCCTTATAGAGGTGTGTTTTTGGGGGTTTTTTTCCAAAAGGGAATTTGGGAATATCATGACCATGGGTGATTTCAGCAGAAAGCCTCTGGACCTTTTTATTCTAAGAAAGGCAATGTGAAGTAGACTCAGAAAAAGGGAAAACTGTGGCATTACCACCTACTAATTAGCTAGTAAAAAACCTACTTCTCGGGCATTCTAGGCAAGGATTTCAAATTACTATATATCAAGTCAACACTGAAAAACAAGTTTCAGGAGATAAACAGGAAAGTTCATCTCAGTATAGGATAGCCACGAGCGCTACAGAAAGTTGGAATACAGAACAGGATCCCTATACATGAGGGGATCACTACAGCTGCGCTACTTATTGAGGTCTTCACTTGGCTACCTGGTGGCAACCACTGCTGGAACTGAACTTGAAATCCTTAGCAGGTGGGCAGAGAGGGGGCTGGAGAAAGTGTATGATGAAGCTGGATGGTGAGAACCATGACGGTTGCTATGATCTAGGAATTCTAGGAATACACAGGCATGTATGTGTGCACACAGGTGAAACCATTTTCTAGCAGGAGCATGCACCTACAAACTTACCAGTGCTCAAGATTCTTCTCCACAAAGTAGCCAGATTGGACAATGTACTTTTTAGCTTCTGGTAGCACCTCCATCAGTCCTTTTCCCCACTGCCAGACAGGCTTGCCATTCACAGCATAGGCTGTAAAAAGAGCAGACACAAGGGCTCCCAGGTAGCCGGTGGGGTGGTGGTGGGTCATTCGGCCGCTCTCGATGCTCACCTGGATCAGAGTGTGCAGCTGGCTGGGGTGAGGGAACCTGAGACCGATGCACATGGCTCGCATGGCAGCCCCACAGCCCCCCTCATGGTTGTTAAAGGGAATCCTCCAGCCATTGGCTTTGTCTGGCTCCAGCAGCATGGCATTCTGCATCGAGGCACCACCTGGGGAGGAGTTGGGGAGGGCATGGGGTCAGTGCAACCGAAGCAAAGTTTCCAGCAGGAAGAAAGAACCAAGCTCAAGTTTCTTTGATGGGAAGGAAAAGCCAAAAAAATATAATGATGAATGCCCTCAAACTCCAAACCTCAAGCCAGTACTGTGCCTTACTTTATATGTAACTCTTACCATGGTAAGATTAATAATAAAAGCATATTCATATAAAAAGCCTTTGAATCTTTGCCAGTCAGTACTGAGACATCACAATAACTCAAAAAGGTAGGTATAACATAGCATTCTCTTTTTTAAATGAATAAACTAAGCCTCAGAGCTTAAAAACCTTGCTCAAAATCACATAACCAGATCGTTAGCGGCCCCATCAAAACCTTCATGCTCCAAGCCCAAGCCCTAAAGAACCCAGTGAGAACCTGACATTTGGAATTCCCAAATGTCAGAAAGAGTACACAGTTCTAGAGTGAAGGGCGCTAGGCTCAGAGATAGAGCAATGGGTTCAGAGCCACAATGTGCCCTTGGGTGCCCTTGGTCCGCCCCCCAATGTGAGAGCAGTATAATCAGGCTTGTCCCATCACCTTGTCCTACTGGGAACTGGGAATGCACACATGAACCTAGCAGTGGCAGTAAAATACTGTGGGGTGCAACATTATTGTTCCCTTATGGTCAGTTTATTCACAACAAAGTCATGGAAGGCATAAGGGAACAAAGAAAACTTTCCACTCGTCAAACTGATGAGATATCAGATGTTGAGAAAGAATAAACAAACTTCCTTCTAAGGCCAATCCTTGGGGTCACCATAGACCTGGGTATGTGGGGGAGATTTTCATCAGGAGGTGCTTCTCCTCAGCTCGTAAGCTGAATTGTGTCCCCAAAATTCACACATTGAAGCCCTAACCCCTAGTACCTCAGAACGTGACTGTATTTAGAGACTGGGCCTTTAAAGAGGTGATGAAGTTAAAATGAGAACATTAGAGTGGACCCTAATGCAATATGAGAGGTATCCTTATAAGAAGAAGCGTGGACACACAAAGAGACACCAGGGATGTGCACTGTGAGAGTACACAGATATAATAAGGAGGTCGTCTGCAAGCCAAAGAGAAAGGCCTCAGAAGATATCAAACCTGCCGACACCTTGAACTCTGACTTCCAGCCTCCGAAACAGTGAGAAAATAAATGTTCTTTAAGCCACCAGTCTGTGTGGCATTTTGTTATGGAAGCTCAAGCTGACTAATACAAGAGGAGAGGCTAGGGATGGGCTAGGGAAAAGGTGATTCAAATCACCTGGTGGCCCAAGTGGCTGTAACAATTTCCCGAGGTGGGTAAGAGCCACTTGTGAGCAGACCTGAAACAGAAAAGGAGTCTCTACAAGATGCTTTCCATTCTTCTTTAAAAAGAAAAGAATGTTTTCTTTACACTTGTTCATTACAGAAAACTTAGAAACAAGCAAAAAGAAAGTAAAGAAACTCTAAATACTCCTATTGCCCAGATATAATTATGAACATTTTTGTGTATATTCTCCCAGGCTTTTCCAAACAGATATACATATATCCTTCACTAACAGTGGGTTCATAAGATACATCCTGTTTTGTAACCTACTTATCGTTCACTTAATATATAGTATCTTTCCATATCTGTCCAGTAAATATTTCCCTGTATAATTTTAAGTGGCTATAAATATATCACCATAATTAAATAAGTTATGGGGCATTTAGGTTCTTCCCATTTTTATCACAATTATAAAAACTACTGTCTCCTTGATATGTAAATCTTAATCAACATTTTTAATGACTTCCTTGGGCGTTTTTATTCTCCACTTGCTCAGGACCTCCACGGGCTGCCCTCACCTGGTGCCCGGCCATCCATGTCTTCCATGCAGTCCTGGTAATGCTTAGCAAGGAGGGAATACAGTCCATCCAAGTCTGAGATTTCCCCAGCTTCCACAAGAGCTTCTGCCGTGGCCAGGTGCATCACAGTGTCATCGCTGACTCTCCACTTCTCCACATCTATGGTGTCCAAGCCACCAAGCTGGGCCAGCTGCTGGTGAATCTTCTGCCCATCTCGGAGGAACTCCCACTTCCCGTTGAAGTACCCCAAGGCATCTCCTGCGGCGCTCAGCACCATGGCAGCCACATACCTCTCAATCAGTCCCCCACACATGGTGAGGCTGTCTTTAGGGGGAAATTACTACATACAGAGAGCGAGGAGAAAGAAAAATCAGAAAAAATAATAGCCCTATCTGTATTTTATTGAGCACTCACAACTAGCAGGCACTGTATTAAGTGCACCTCCTTTAATCCTCACAACTGCTCTATGAGGAATGTATTATTTGGCCCATTTTACAAATGAGTGAAATGAGGGTTACAGAGAGAATTCAGTTTCAGAAATGCTAAGTGACCTTAGGTCACAGAGCCAGGTGGCACGGCTCAGATTCCATAGACTCCAAAGTCCACGATTTTATCTACCACTCCATCTTTGCCTCTCTGTCAAGCCCATTACATTCTTCAAGTCAAACCAAGCTTACCATTTTCTTTTTACTTGGGATTTGGCCTTGGAAGTGCGTCCCTCCTTTACTTAAACAATAGTACTTTCCATTACAATGCACAGTTCACAAGGCACCTGCACCTTCTATGTCGCATTTCTAGACAGGGATTACAGTATGTGTTTCACAGATAAGAAAACTGGGGCTCAGAGAGGGTAAATTCACACAACCACCAGTGAGTGGAGGCACTGGAACCTGAATCTTGATTCCAGGCCACTCACCTCAGCACAAACCTACTTACTGGGCAATCTGTGGCTCAGCCTCTAAATCTCTAAAATGGTGATAAAAATATTAACAATCTCCTGGGTTTGCTGTGAGGAGCAAATAAATTTTTGTGAATTACTTAGAACAGTGCTTAGCACATCATAAGCACTATTTTTATTATTTGTATTATTCACACACAACCAGGGAAAAGATTTTTCTATTACTGACCTAGAATGCTTCCTCCTCACAACCTTCCTTTCAGTGGCAATATTTAAATTGTTTTTCTTCTAAATGATTAACTTCTAGAGTCCTAGGATCTCAGCTAATATAACCTCCATGAATCTAATCCTGGTAAAGTGCTGGTTTTCCTGCAAGTACATTTCCAGTTCTCCACTGTACCCTATTACCTATAGCACTCAAGTTCACAGCCCTCCTGTTTGGCCCCACTGGACCCATCCCCTCCCCTGCATAGACCAGCTAAACACCTTTAATGGCTGGTAAACCAGCTCGTTCTCCCTTCGGCTCAAGCTCTTTCCACACCCAAGATGCACAGCTTCCCTCCCACTTACCTACTGACTCAGGGATTATATAGTTCAAGTCTTGGGACTTCCCCAGCTGCACTGCTGCTGGCCCGGGAAGGCAGGCTGGCAAGCACCTGCGGAAGAGTAAAAGAAGTTGAGCGTAGCCCTGCGGTGTGGCTCAGTCGGTTGAGCATTGTGCCATGGACCAAGAGGTAGCTGGTTTGATCCTGATCGGGGTACATGCCCTGGTTGCAGGCTCCATCCCCAGAAAGGGCCTGCAGGAGGCAGCTGACCAGATGTTTGTCTCTCTCTTCCACTGCCTGCCTCTCTTTAAAATCAATAAAAACATTAAAAAAAAAAAAAGATTGAGCATATCCATACTGATCATGCTGAAGTTCTTAGCTCACAAAGGATATTTGTAAAACGTTATTTACATGCTTTATTATTTATAAATGATGCCTAGAACTGGAGTACTGGGCCACTAGACCTGACTGCCAAGAATCAGTTGTGTGACTGTGGACAAACCACCCACCCTGAACCTGGATTTTCCCAACTTTCAATTGGAGAGGGAGGAAGGAGGCTACAGACGCTCCCTGAGCTCCTGTCCCCTGCTGGGAGCTTCAGAGGACCAGCTGTGGGTCGCCATACCCTCTCCCAATGGCCTCAGCTTCCTTTCTGTAATTCCTTCTGTTTTGTGAGTTGCAAGCGAGGGTAGGGGACAGTGACCGTCTCTTTCCTTTGGAAAATCACTTTAACTTTCAGACAGAACTGCTCCAGCCTCCCGCTTTCACAACGCTGCTATTTAAGCGGTAAACTCTACACTTTCACAGTGTACACTGTCGCCCTGAACTATAAATTCGAAACGAAGGTTGGTCAGCTGCTCCCCACAGGCTTCAGTCTGCTTCTCTAGGGAGGGGTGGGGGCGACCGGGAAACCGGCCGAGAGCGCACCCGGTCTCCGGGGAGCTGGGTGAACGCGCCCCCA